CATTTTGGGAATTGCTGTTGTCTTTTCACATAGGAAAGCTTTGCCTGTAACTATCAGGTGCATGTCTAGGAAAGTGTGATAATCGATAAGAAGTGTCGTCGTGGCGCAGGGGTAGAGCGGGTGCACTGGGAACAGCACGGTTGGTGGTTCAAGTCCCGGCTGCCCCATGTCTCAAGTTGAAGTGTCCCTGAGCAAGACACCTAACCCCTAATTGCTCCCTGGGCAAAAATGTAAAAAGCCATGGGTTTAAAGTGTAATGTAAGTTGCTCTGGATAAAAGCGTCAGCTAAATGACCAGGCGACTGTGGGTGAGTGGGGAGCACAGTTGTCCTCCAATCAGAAGGTTGTCGGTTCGACGCTAGGCTCTGCTAACCCCCATGTCGATGTGTCCTTGGGCAAGACACTTAACCGAACATTGCTCCTGTAGCTGCGACTACGGTGTGTGAATGGTAGTTACTGATGTGCAGGTGTCTGTGTGTGTATTGTTCTCCTGTCATCAGTGTATGAATGGGTGTGAATGGGTGAATGATGTCATGTAGTGTTAAAGCACTTTGAGTGGTCGGAAGACAATAAAAGCGCTATACAAGTACAGTCCATTTACCATAATGTAATTAAGACTGATCGATTGCCCTCTTGTTCTAGCGGCGTTCACGTTAATGCTCCAACCCTCATTTAGGAAGGTCTTGAGCTGATGGACATTCACTAATGATTTGATGCACATACATTTATTACACATACCTCCTCTTGAGGATCACACTACCTTATTTTCATTGGATTAGAGCAGATGCAGTTCTGCACATGACTCTTAGGACCTCAGGCATCATGTTTTCCATTCTTTCCCTCTTTATCTGAAAATAAGTAAACAAAACAAGATGATCATTGACATGTGTGCAGAGTTTAGCAAAGACAACAGAGACAAAGGGTTGATGAGAAATTTCAGCAGGTGACAGGAAGTGACAGCAAGTGACAGCTCTTTTTGTTCTTTTTTGTGCTCTCAGCACTTGAGGTTAATAATAGTGCTCTTTTCATTCATCCTTTTAATATTTAATTTAAATGATGTAGGCAAGATGTCAGAGTTACAGCAATAACCACTAAAGTGTTTTATGCAGTGGTTGGCCAACCTGCAAGCATGATTTAAATTGTATGCC